AAAAAAAAAAAAATTAAATTTTTTTTGTCAAAAAATTGGGGCTCCTCCGCCCCTGGCTGTGTTGCTATTGATCACTATAATATGTTTCGGGTATACTTAAGCAATTTTTATTACATTGTGACACTTGGCACAGTGATTTAAATTAAATAAAAAAAATAAAAATAAAAAGGTATTGCTCTGGACGAGATTAATAAGTTAAAACTCTTTTTTCATTGTATTGTCTACTAAAATATATTGCCACTTCGTACTAAACATGACAAAGAGGTTATAAAAGGAAATGAAATACCATTCTAATTTTCCCTTCATTTTGCTTACTTTAAATAAAAAGTTTGCCGCTTTTTAATTTTCATATCAAAAGTTTTCATAAGTCAACACAGGATAACATTTTTTCTACTCTAGGACGTTTCCATGCAAATTTTATCTATCATATTTAATGATTTGCAGGAAAATGTGGCTTTGATGAAGAAATTGGGTTTGAATTCTTACAGATTTTCGCATGGTCTTGAATCTTGCTAGGCACATTACTCAAAACTTAAAAAGGATAGAATTTGTGCATCATCTTGTGGTGTACTATTAAATGTTAGTTAAAGTTTTATTTTAATTTGCATTCTATCTTGGTGTATTAGGAGGAAGACTATGCACTAGCGTTTGCAAAGAAGGAATTCAATTTTATAACGATCACATTGATACACTATTGGCAGCAAGTTTGCGCCAATTACATAATTCTTGTATTTGTTATTTCTTTAACAACTTTTATTTGCATAATTCACTATTGGAATTAAGTTCAATATTTGATGTATATGCTTTTCTGCTATAGTTTTCCATCTTACATATTAATTTATCTCACATGTTTTCAATTTATTTTGTGTAGGCATTGAGCCATATGCAACTATCTTTCACTGAGATGTTTCCCAATGTTTGGAAAAAGAGTATGGTGGCTTCCTAAGTGACAAAATTGTATAAGTAACTCACATGGCAGGTTTACTAGTAATATGTTTAAGAAATTTACGAAGTGAATCCAGAGTTATAAGCAAATCTTTATTTGCTCCAATATCCATGAAGCGAAAAGAAGAATTTTTTTAAAGAAAAAGGGATTATAGTTTTATTAAAACAATGGACCACCTGTTCCAAAGATTAAAGTACCAACTTAACAATTTTTACCATATTTTGCCATGTTGTGTATTTATATTATAGGAAGGATTTTTGTGAATTTGCTGAGATTTGCTTCTGGGAGTTCGAAGATCGAGCGAAATCACGCTGAATGAGCCATGGTCATTTAGTGTTTTGGATATGCGATTGGCACTTTTCCCCCTAATCGCGGTAAAGCTCCAACTACTACAGGAAAAAGGCATTCTTGTCTTCATAGATGTGCATTTAGATCTCAAATTGCTTGCAAGTATGGACAGCGACGGACCCAGCATTGAAGTTCAGCCCGAGTGAATGTTCACAAATGACTGTTGAAATTCAGCGATCGTAAGAGCGATATCGTTTATTAATATTTAATTAAATAATATTAAAAATTATTCAATATATATGTAAATGCACTAAAACGTAAAAATTATATATATGTATGTATGTATGTAGGTAGGTAGGTATGTATGTATGTATGTATGTATGTATGTATGTATGAAAATGTAATTGAATACAACCCAAAATACTAAATAAATACGCGATACAACCTACTCTGTAACAGTGATCTTAGACAATTGCATTTTACAAGGTCTCATGTTTTGAAAACGTTGCAATATTGCGTCATTTTCAAATTTTCCAAAAATCTTTTTCTCCATGTAAACCACCAAATTGTCATTCAACCAATCATCTCCTATTTTGTTGCGCAAATCACTCTTGATTAGATTCATAGTAGAGGATGTCATTTCAACACTTGTACTTGCCACTTGTAGTTTCAATTTCAAATTTTCAACACCAATTTATCACAAATCACAAATTTCTAAACTCCCCAATGAACAAATTCCCAAAATTTTCAATTCACA